TTTTTTTTCTCCAAACACTCAGTAACATGGTGCTAATGCAAGATAATTGCAGTACAATGTACTCCACAGGAAGTCTGCGTGCATCACTGTGTTGTCAATGCTGTTGTTATGGAAGGTGATGCATTGGCACAGCTCCCAGAGGACTTGCGACATCATCTCACCCTAGCCCTTGGGAAGCACAGGTCAGTCTGCCAATAAAGAAAGTCCAGATTTTCTCTAGTGCATCATTATTCTTTATCTTGTTTATATTTTTATTAATTTACTGTTTGTCCAATAGGCTGCATTTTAGTTGTAGTTCCAGAAATGCATTCTCGACATGAATGGTTAAGCATTGGAGGATGGAGACTATTGCAAAGAACTTATGAATCTTCTAGTCTCTATTACATCCAGAAACTTGAAAGCGCTCTTTTTTAACTGTATTTTTAAGGAAATGGTGTTCAGGAGCCATAGGAGAGGATGTGCTAGTGGGAGGTAATGGAGGAGGTGGTGAAGACAGCCCTCTCTCTGTCTCATCCACAGACCCCTTGATTGATGACCAAGTCAGCTTAATACCCGGACTTCAGGTACTGTGGTGACTGAATTCATAAGGACATAATGATATGGCTTATAACATTATTCTGACACTGATTATATATATGGGTTGTCTGTGCATTTCTCGTGAAGAGAAATATTTCTTTAAGTGAATGATACAATTTTATATATGTATTTATGATTACATGTATACCTTTTTCCAAGAGTAACCATGTTTGTCTACAAGATAGAATAGTCACAATTGTTGCTATTAATGTGAGGCCTTTGTTCATTGCAGTATGGCAGTAATAGCCTTGAGGGAGGCTTGCGGCAAGTGGAAACAGTGGTGCAGCAGCTGAGAGAGGTTGTAGGTCACCAGGTTCCTAGATCAACTCTCGTCCAAATCACTCTGGCAGCTGACTATGACCTCAACCGTGCACTCAACTTTTTCTTTGCCTCTTCATCATAGGTGTTCGTCTCATCTTCTACCCGGCAGTAATACTGCCTATTTGTCATCTCGTCTCGTTATCTGCAAGGCTGTTGATAGACACAATGTCTTTAAAAAACTCTCACAAGAGCACATTCCACACAGATGCCAAGTGCTTATTTTTTGTTTTTTCTACCATTCTCTCAATCATGTACACAAGGTTCTTGTGGAAGAGTCCAAGAGGCCTTCGTACACAGGCTTTTGCTAAAGAGAACGGAAAAATGTTTGTTAAAACCAAAGTGTGATTTGTATTTGTGCTCTTAATGGTCTTTCTTGTTAAGTCTGTCTTGATGTTCTTAAGTTGGCTTTAGACAGTTGCTTCATAATATTCAATTTTATCACATAGAGATTTACAGTTTTACGAGTTTATGTGCGTATGCTTGTGTTTGTGATAATGAAGAGTCATTCATGAATGCATATTTGCTCTCTCTCTCTCTCTCTCTCTCTCTCTCTCTCTCTCTCTCTCTCTCTCTCACTCACTTTCTCTATCTATCTATCTATCTTACCCATAGCCCTTCTTCTAACTCAGTGTGCATTTATAGAATGACTCGTATATTTAAGCTTTAAGGTTGCCTACAATCCTGTATGAGCATGTATTTTCATTCGTGACATATGCTAGTGTGCATTTTTGCCATCATTTACAGCTGCCCTAGAGCAATGCACGTGATCAAAAGTAATGGTTTTATGCACTGTGTGTGGATGCTTGAGTGTGCTCTACTTCAATCATTTATTTTATTACTACTGTTATTATTATTATGATTTCTCTCTTTATTATATTTTTAGATTACTTTTTCCCTTTTTTCCATGTCTGTGCACATCTAGAAATATAGTGACATATCACCATAAACCATAAATATTATATTGCGCCTCTCTAAAGATACTAATGTTAAGGACCAATTTTTGGTATAGATGCCCTTCTATTTTGCTCTTGTGATAAAATATATCTGTTGTGGTTTTATTGTATATATAGGGGAGAGCTAGAATTTTAGATGCTGTCATTCCTTGACCAATAGTTTTATGCAATGGATTCATATATATATATATATATATATA